GTGCATGTCTCTCTCGGCCTGTCTGCCTCCCTGTGCATGTCTCTCTCGGCCTGTCTGCCTCCCTGTGCATGTCTCTCTCTCTCTCTCTCTCGGCCTGTCTGCCTCCCTGTGCATGTGTTTGCACACAATCAAACAGCAGGGCACTGCAGGAGTTCTGGGAGCGTTGTCAGAGGCAGCAAGATAGGAAGAGAGAAAAGTTTTAAAATGAACCCAATTTTGGTAAATTATGTTCTCAAAAAAAAACACAATGTAAATAATCAAACCACAAATTTATTGCAAAAATGATTGCTACTTCAACCACACAGATTTATTGCATAAAAAAATCACTTCTTTTGTCCAGCAAATCTGTGTGGTTGAAGTAGCAATCATTTTTGCAGTAAATTTGTGGTAAATTTTTTTTTGGCAACTTTCATCCCTATTGCTCTCCAGAAGCCTGTCTCACATGCAAGAAATATCCTGGGTACCTTTTCATTCTTCATGTCTCTTCCTAGGTGGTGCTATCTGCAGTATATTCATTGCACACATGCAATGTTCATGCAGAGAACCCAGACTCCATGCCCAGTCGAGTACGGTTGCATTGTCCACCAGAGTAGCTGCACAGTAAAGAGCAGCAAGCACCTTAGCCAACTTAGTCCAGAGAGCTGGTGCAGACACGATGGACTGAGTGGCCCCCTTCCGCACTGTAACAATTGTCATTGCAGAAGAAAGGGGATCTCATCAAAACATATAAAATTCTGACAGGGCTGGACAAAGTGATGCAGAGTGACATCTCCCCGGCCGAGGGTTCACAACAAGGAATGCCGTCTCCAGATATGCAGCGAGGCATTTTGACTGAGATGAAGTGAAATTCCTTTACACAAATGGTGATTAATCTGTGGAATTTTTGACCACTGAAGGCAGTGGAGGCAAAGTCACACAATATATTTAAGTAGTAGCAAGATTTCTAGACACTAAAGGTGTCAAGTGGTGGGAGTAAGATACTATGGCATGGAGATAGAGGATCAGCCATGATCGTATTGAATGGCAGAGCAGGCTGAATGAACTGAATGGCCTACCCTTGCTCCAATTTTCTATCTTTTGATGTTCGGCTGCACAGGAAAGAGCAGCAAGTGCCTGAGCTGACTTAGCCCACAGGACTCAAGATCACCTTTATTTTGTCAACTGAATTGGCTTAGATCAGGCAACTCAGCAGACATCAGGGACCAAGTCCAACAGCTTTATGATCTGATCAGTTATATCCACATTCTTACGCAGAGTCTTGATCCCACCACCACAGAAAATAATGGTTACCTGATCCACGATGGTATTCATATACGTCTTATCGGTCATGCTGGCCAGCTCCAGGTGCACTGAAATCTCATTCGGAATCTCTGAGATTAACAGACTAACCTATTGTTTTGGAGAATTAGAAAAGACATTATATTTCAAAATCTAACAAACAAGGATTGCAGTACAGTTGAGTAACATACTGCTGTAACAAAATTCTTGCAAATCTGTGACGAACCTCAACATTAACCCTTCAATATGGAGCAATGAAAGGTCTGGCAGATGGAATACAATGTAAGTAAATGTGAAGTCATACGTTTTGGTAGGAGTAATAGTAAAAAGGATTATTACTTGAATGGTTAAAAAGTTGCAGCATGCTGCTATGCAGAGGGACCTGGGTGTCCTTGTGCATGAATCACAGAAGGTAGGTTTGCAGGTACAACAAGTAATTAGGAAGGCAAATGGAATTTTGTCCTTCATTGCTAAAGGGATTGAGATTAAAAGCAGAGAGGTTATGTTGCAGCTGTACAAGGTGCTGGTGAGGCCACACCTGGAATACTGTGTGCAGTTTTGGTCTCCTTACTTGAGAAAGGATATACTGGCACTGGAGGGGGTGCAAAGGAGGTTCACCAGGTTGATTCCAGAGCTGAGGGGGTTGGCTTATGAGGAGAGACTGAGTAGATTGGGATTATTTTCATTGGAATTCAGAAGATTGAGGGGGGATCTTATAGAAACATATAAAATTATGAAGGGAATAGATAAGGTAGAAGTAGAGAGGATGTTTCCACTGGCAGGTGAAGCTAGGACAAGAGGGCATAGCCTCAAGATTAGAGGGAGCAGATTTAGGACTGAATTGAGAAGGAACTTCTTCACCCAGAGGATTGTTAATCTATGGAATTCCTCGCCCAGTGGAGTAGTTGATGTTACTTCAGTAAACATTTTTAAAGATAAGGTAAATATTTTTTTGAACAATAAAGGAATTAAGGGATATGGTGAGAACGGGGGTAAGTGGATCCGAGTCCACGAAAAGATCAGCCATCATCTTATTGAATGGCGGAACAGGCTCGAAGGGCCGGACGGCCTACTCCTGCTCCCAGCTCTTATGTTCTTATATCCCAGGTCTGAAAATGAAAATTAATCCTACAATGATGTGTGGAGCTGGAGGAACACAACAGGCCAGGCAGCACTGGAGGAGCAGGAAAGTTGACGTTTTGGGTCAACTTAATCTCTCCAAGTTTGCACTGTTTATGTCTTCACCATTTTATCACCAATCTTCCTTCTGTTCATTTCATGTCACAAACGCCTTTCTTCCGATGATTCGGCTTTCTTAGATGTTTTCCTCTTTAAGTTCTTCAGTGAGGACTTTGAGCTAAAATGCTGTGGTACCTTTGATGGGTCTTTTCAGAGAACGCAAAAATTTTGTGTGAAAGCCAGGTTTGTATCTCAGCTGGCCGACTTGTTTTTGCTGCAGCTGAAGTTTGGCTCTCTCCCGATTTTCCAAATGCCCTCATCTTTATACCCATAATGACATAATAGTATTTCTTACACAGCATTGGTTCAATGTTCATAATACCATCAGTTTTTAAATTCAGAGATAACAAGGTGTAGAGCTGGATGAACACAGCAGGCCAAGCAGCATCAGAGGAGCAGGAAAGCTGACATTTCGGGTCAAGACCCTTCTTCAGAAATGGGGGAGGGGAAGGGGATTCTGAAATAAATAGGGAGAGAGGGGGAGGCGGATAGAAGATGGATAGAGGAGAAGATAGGTGGAGAGGAGACAGACCAGGTCAAAGAGGCGGGGGTGGAGCCAGTAAAGGTGAATGTAGGTGGGGAGTTAGGGAGGGGATAGGTCGGTCCAGGGAGGACGGACAGGTCAAGGAGGCGGGTTGAGGTTCGTGGGTGGGAGATGGGCGTGGGGCTTGAGGTAGGAGGAATGGTTAGGGACGAGCTGGGTTGGTTTTGGATGCGGTCGGGGGAGGGGAGATTTTGAAGCTTGTGAAGTCCACCTTGATACCCTTGAGCTGCAAGGTTCCCAAGCGAAATATGAGATGCTGTTCCTGCAGCTTTCGGGTGGCATCACTGTGGCAATGCAGGAGGCCCAGGATGGACATGTTGTCCAAGAAGTGGGAGGGGGGGGTTGAAAGGGTTCGCGACTGTTTGTTGCGAACCGAGCGTAGGTGTTCCGCAAAGCGGTCCCCAAGCCTCCGCTTGGTTTCCCCGATGTAGAGGAGGCCACAACGGGAACAGCGGATACAGTATACCACATTAGCAGATGAACATCTGTTTGATGTGGAAGATCTTCTTAGAACCTGGGATGGAGGTGACGGGGGAGGTGTAGGGGCAGGTGTAGCACTTGCTGCGATTGCAGGGAAAGGTGCCGGGGGTATTGGGGCTGGAGGGGAGTGTGGAGCAGACAGGGGAGTCACAGAGAGAGTGGTCCCTCCGGAAGGCAGATAAGGGTGGGGTGGGAAAAATGTCTTTGGTAGTGGGGTCAGATTGCAGATGGCAGAAGTGTCGGAGGATGATGCGTTGGATTCGGAGGTCAGTGGGGTGGTACGTGAGGATGAGGGGGATTCTGTTTTGGTTGTTATTGCGGGTAGGGGCTGTGAGGGATGAGTTGCGGGAAATGCGAGAGACACGGTCGAGGGCATTTTCGACCACTGTGGAGGGGAAGTTGCAGTCCTTGAAAAACGAGGACATCTGGGATGTCCGGGAGTGGAATGCCTCATCTCGGGATGACTGTATCGGCGCTGCCTCGTGCTCCCACGAGGAGCTCGAACAGTTCATCGACTTCACTAACACCTTCCACCCCAACCTTAAGTTCCCCTGGACCATCTCTGATACCTCTCCCTCCATCTCTGGCATCGACCTGGAAACCAATATCCATTTCAAGCCTACCGACTCCCACAGCTACCTAGAATACACCTCCTTTCACCCACCTTCCTGCAAAAAGGCCATCCCCTATTCCCAATTCCTTCGCCTCCGCCACATCTGCTCCCGAGTTGAGGCATTCCACTCCCGGACATCCCAGATGTCCTCGTTTTTCAAGGACTGCAACTTCCCCTCCACAGTGGTCGAAAATGCCCTCGACCGTGTCTCTCGCATTTCCCACAACTCATCCCTCACAGCCCCTACCCGCAATAACAACCAAAACAGAATCCCCCTCGTCCTCACGTACCACCCCACTGACCTCCGAACCCAACGCATCATCCTCCGACACTTCTGCCATCTGCAATCTGACCCCACTACCAAAGACATTTTTCCCACCCCACCTTTACCTGCTTTCTGGAGGGACCACTCTCTCCGTGGCTCCCTTGTCTGCTCCACACTCCCCTCCAGACCCACTACCCCCGGCACCTTTCCCTGCAACCGCAGCAAGTGCTACACCTGCCCCTACACCTCCCCCGTCACCTCCAT